ACAGGGGTCCCGACGCGGCTGAAAAGTGTTTGCAGGAGGAAGAGAAAAGTATTAGGAATGCACTATACACAGTCGCTCCCATGCGTATGACTCAAGCCAACCAGCTAGCTCACGGCTGCAGCACTCACTGCCACGTGTGCGATAAACCGCTGAACGGTAATTCGGTGAGAGATCACTGCCACGTCACCGGTAAGTAAAGAGGCGCCGCTCACAACGCGTGCAACCTCAAGCTTAGAATCAACCCCAAGACAATAATCATCCCCGTGGTCTTCCACAACTTGAGAGGGTACGACTCTCACTTGATCATGTAGGCCATCGTGAAAGTCGACGGCAACCTGACGTGCATCCCAAACAACATGGAGAGATACATCTCCTTCAGCTTTAATGGCCTGAGGTTCATAGACTCGGTTCAGTTCCTCCTGTCGCCACTCAACAGTCTGGTCAAGGTCAACGATACCTTCCCCATCGCTGATCGATATACCGACGCCGAGACTCGACCCCTGCTGATGAGGAAGGGCGTGTACCCCTACGAGTACATGGATGGTTGGGCCATTTTCGCCGAGACCCGACTACCTCCTATCAACCGATTTTACAGCAACCTGACCGACTCGACAATATCCCAAGACGATTACTCGCACGCGATTAACGTATGGAATAAACTGGGCTGTAAGAATCTGGGTGACTACCACGACCTGTACTTGAGGACAGATGTACTCCTGCTAGCCGACGTGTTTGAGACGTTTAGGAGGACGTTTTTCAAGCAATATCAACTCGACCCCGCATGGTACTACACCAGCCCAGGTCTGTCGTGGGATGCATTGTTGAAAAAGACCGGAGTTAAGTTGGAATTGCTCACCGATTATGACATCCATCTATTAATTGAGAAAGGCTTGCGAGGTGGGATTTCAATGGCTACCAAACGATACGCGAAAGCAAATAATCAATACGTGAAGGGCTACGACCCGAGCAAGCAAACCAATCATATTCTCTACCTCGATGCCAACAACCTGTACGGCTGGGCCATGAGGCAGTATCTACCCACAGAGGGATTCGAATGGGTATCGCACGAGATTGATGTTATGAGCATCGCGCCGGATTCGAGCAAAGGCTATATCCTCGAGGTGGACTTAGAATACCCCAAGGCATTACACACGTCGCACAACAGCTACCCCCAGGCCCCCGAACATATGAGGGTTAACCCGGACTGGATGTCTGAGTACCAACAGAACTTGTTAGGTGGGCGGGTGGCAGACGTTGAAAAACTAGTGCCCAACTTAGTGAATAAGACCAAGTACATTGTTCACTATCGCAACCTACAGCTGTACCTGTCGTTGGGTATGAGGCTGACCAAAATACACAGGGTGCTTGTGTTCAACCAGAGCCCCTGGATGGAGCCATACATCAAAATGAACACGGACCTGCGAAAGCTGGCCACCAGTGAGTTTGAGAAAAACCTCTACAAGCTCATGAACAACTCGGTGTTTGAAAAACCTCTACAAGCTCATGAACAACTCGGTGTTTGGTAAGACTATGGAGAACCTGAGGAAACGCATGACCGTGAAGCTGGTTTGGTCGAAAGAGGATGTCAAGCTCAGGAGACTGATAGCCAGCCCGACATTCAACCGGAGCAAGATATTCACCGACGACCTGGTGGCCCTACACATAAAGAAAAGCCACATCAAATTCAACCGGCCTGTTTACGTGGGGATGAGCATCCTCGATTTATCCAAACACCTGATGTACGACTTTTATTACAGTGAACTGAAGAAACAGTACGGCGACAGGTGTGAAATGCTGTACACTGACACGGATTCCCTGCTGATGGAGATTCGAACCGAGGACGTGTACGAGGACATGAAGAAACGCCTCGATTTGTATGACACCAGTGACTACCCCAAGGACCATGCCATACACAGCACGGTAAATAAAAAGGTCCTAGGTAAGATGAAGGACGAGTGTGCTGGCACTCCCATAGCCGAGTACATAGGCTTGAGACCCAAGATGTACTCCATCCTGAAGGCCGACAATGGTGAGATCCGAAAGGCGAAGGGTGTTAAGAAGTACATGGTGAAACAACACATCAAACACGCCAGATTCAAGGAAGCACTATTCAAGACCTGTACCTTCAGGCATAAAATGAACACGCTTAGAAGTGATGGACATAGGATATACAGACTGATGATAAACAAGACGTCCCTGTCGCCGATGGACACTAAGCGTTAGATAGCCATCGACGGGATCAACACGTACGCGTACGGGCATGAGAAAATTGAACCAAGAACATAGGTGTATATAAATACCCTGTCGGGGCGACATGTCACGGAACCAGAGAAAGTTTGAGGCTATTTACTATAGCCCGCGTGGGTACTGGAAAGGAGCTAGCGCCGTACATAAGCTGGCCAAAATGGCGCGAGTACCCCCAAACGAGGCCAAAGCGTGGCTTGAAAAGCAAGCCCTGTGGCAGATCTATTTACCGGCACCACGCTACGTGCCTAGAAGGAAGTTAGGTATTAACATGCCCAATAGCGTTCACCAGGCCGACCTCCTATTCCTACCCAAAGACAAGAGGTACAAGTATGCCCTAACCGTCCTGGACGTGGCCAGTCGCTACAAGGAAGCCGAACCCTTGACCGCAAAAAACTCGGCCCAGGTAGCCCGCGGATTCGAACGCATGTACAATCGCAGTCCGCTGACGTGGCCCACAGAGCTGCAAGTCGACCCCGTGCGGGAGTTCATGGGTGCCGTGTCACAACTGCTAGACAAACACGATACCAAGGTCAGGCGTGGCGCTGCCGGGGCTCATCGCAGCCAAGCCATAGTTGAGAGATTCAATCAGACTTTGGCAGAGCGCTTATTCGGGCATCAGTATGCGAAAGAGATGGCCAACCCGGGGAAACGATCGACTTAATGGGTAGCTCGGCTACCTCAGGTGGTGTCCGCCTTCAACCACGAAACCACCCGTCTCACCGGCAAGAAACCAGCCGACGCTATCAAACTAAAATCAATAGTGGCTGAGTCGTCTGCACCATCGTGTGGGAAGGAGAAACAGATACCCAATAGGGCCCTCGTGAGGTACCTCTACCATCCGGGGGAACACGAAGGTGACACTCGGAAACGAGCCAACGATCCGATATGGTCGGTCAAAACTTACAACATAGATAAAGTGGACATCAAAGCCAATGAGCCGAACTTGTACTACTTGAGAGATGGGCCAGGGAGAGGTTTCGTTAGAGAGGAATTATTGATCATACCGTACGGTACAATGTTACCTCCTGTCAACACGTCATAGCGACACTATTGTACCACGTGGGGTCGGGAAGTTAACTGGGGGTTCAAAAGTAGTAGACAATGGTGGGTGAGATCTAAGGGCCTGACAAAAGCTTTATTTGTGAAATAAAGCTTTACAGAGGCTTTTGTTCGACTTGGTCTCGGACCGCTATTGTATCTACTACTGGTCCATAGTGTGACCATTCCGACCAGAATAGTCATCCATACCAATAAGAGTGAAAATGGTAATTCGCAATTTGGATAGTGTTCCCAAAGCAGGGTGTCAATAACGCGTATGCCCCCCACCACGTGCGTTCACAACTGTGATGCATCGTTTCCTCATGGAATGACGGATGCGTCGAAACACACCATCGGGAATACGACTCCATAACTGCACCAACATGGCACCAAGTTCCTGTAAAGTCTGTGGGGGATTCAGTACTTGGCGGAGACGTCTGTCAAGCACATCCCAGACGTGTTCGATTGGATTAAGGTCGGGAAACCTTGTGGGCCACTCCATGACATCGATGCCCGTGTTCAGGAGGAAATTCCGTGTCAAGTGTTCCGTATGAGGTCTGGTGTTATCTTCCTGAAAGACCAGGCCTGGGCCATGAGCTGCCATGAGGGGTAGAAGGTCCGGAGTTAGCACTTGATCACGATATCCACAAAGGCCCCCCCAAACTTTCGCCTCTGAATCGGACCACTTCCTGTACACAACACTGGGCGTGACGTTCTGATCTTGACGACCTTGGAACACTTCATTTCTGGTGGAGTGCGAAGGTGACGTAACACAATATAGTGGTCTTCTGCTTGTGACGTCACAAGTGGTCTACCAGGACGGGGACGGTCAGCCGTGACCGCAGATTTTGGATTGCCTGACGACTGCATCACCCTCGCAACATCAGCTACGGACGTACACGTGTGCGGTTCACGCTGAACATTTGGCAGTCGTGACTTTGAAATTCACAGTATCAATTCTTGTTTGAACTCGTTTTCCTGGTTTGTCACTCTACCGTGCGTAAGTGAGCACAAAAGCACGTGTCTCATGTGGTCACGTGACAAGTGGCACGTAAAAACACACGTTTGGTCCAAAACTCGTTTGCATGTGCTACAGATCGGTGCACGTGGGCATCGACGTGCGGCATGTCGTCTTTGACAATGTCTTTACCGTCAATATTCATGACAACTGTCACTTAACAAATTTCAATTCATTCTTTACAAATTTATGAGGTGAAGTTTTTAATTTGACTGTGTATATATGAAGTTTTTATGATTATCTTTATGGATTAAATTAATATCTACACAGACTATCTTCACAACTGATGTTTCCTCCGTTATTCAATGACAAAACGGCATACCGAAATACTATATATTGTATAACAAAGAAAATAGAATTCATGACTATGCAACCTAATTTTGAGATCGTTGTTATCAGAACTATAACATATATGTTTAGGGGCTTATAATGTAGAAAATAGGATTGACATACACAATTAGTGTCACTGTCAAACACTTAAGCTCTCAATATATCGCAATGCCTGAATCGCAATATATTGCAATTACAATGTCTTTGCCAATACACAGCCCTACTCATCCTCGATAATCTACAGGGCATATATGTTTCGATTTATCATAACGTATACCCTGGAGATTATCGATAATGAGCCCTAGTTGTCACTGGTCTTAACGTTTTATGTTATATTCTTTGACGACACACATGGTGCCAATGGCGTTATTCTCAAATCAGTTGTTGTAAATAACTGATGATCAAGTCACACACGATTTCACCGTTATGGACATTTAGCATACTCTGAATAGACTGCATGAAATGAATACAAAATAAACGCTAGAATCACACGTCCTACTTTGCATTGAACTGCTGACACACAATTCTGCTGTTTCTTGCAGGTGGTAATGCTTCTTGCATTGACGTGGTTGGATGGGAGGGAAACGATGGGGTATGATAGCCTGTATCTAGATATACAGTACCATCTGATCGCTTTAGCAATGGAAATGGTCAATGCTCATGATGTTGATCACTGAATTGTCCAGACAACCAAAAAGTCCATATAATGATTGGGCCATAACGATTATTTCAAGGATACAATTTGTAGTATATAATTTGCAGATATATATATTTACTATTTTAAGATAGAAATATTTACGATCAACCCAAACGATACTTTGTCTTCTTGTCAATTGAAATCACAATACTATACCACGAGGCTATAGGTAGTTATTTCTTATTCCCATCTTTCAAGGAAACTTCACATACCTTGAAGAGGTGGGTCTATCCTTTGCTCTTATTAAGACGACCGTGCAGAATTGGAAAATGGAAAAATATTGCCGTGAGATGGTTGAAGGAGGTCGACTGATTGTCTTGGATACGAAACCAAAGTATGAGGCAATGCAGCATTACATGAACGAGGATGCGGGTAGGTATCCTTTAACATCTTGACAGGGTATCCGATTAGATGAGGTCTTTTGGGGTCTGACAGAAACTGAAGCCTGATAGACACCTATGCTGAAATATCAAAGATTCCTATTTGGGAAAGAAAAACTCCGCTGAGCAGCACTTCCAATTATCAGTATAACGATTATGTACAAATTAAAGCAAATTTACATCAAAGAGAGACACCGTCAGGCTGGTAAGGCTCATCATCAGCTCAGGGCCCTCGCCCCCCTCTACATGCAGCCCAGACAGCAAATGCGATCTCTCCCAGGAAGCACTGCCTACTCGAACCCATCAAGAAGTTTCCTGAGAATATGATGACTCCCCTACACTGCCGCTTTTAGTATGACCCAACCCGTGTAGGTCCGGATTAGAATTGATCTCAAGTGCTTGTCGTAGGAGGCGACTAACGGTATCGGGTGGTCAGGCTTGCTGGCTTGGTTGACACATGTCATCGGTTCCCAAGTGCGCAGATCCATGCTCATGCTGTTCATCACTGGATTGTCTGGTCCAGACTCGATTATTTACAGACTGCCGCCATATAGTTGGAATATTGCTGAGTGCGGCGTAAAACTAATCTCACACACTCTTACTTTAAACATTACCCAGTGTGTCCAACGGGCTGTGCCCCCCGGTGGAACACACAGGCACACTGCTGATCTGCGTCAACAGCGTGAATGATTCCACTTGGTCTACTCCCATCGCTGTACCGTCCAGTAGTACATCGCCATCAACAAAATCAAACTCAACCTTGATATCCTTTCCAGCTACTTTATGGCGCTTTAAATAGCTGTGAAATTCTATGTTTTCATCATGAGCCTTGACATGCCTCACCAGATATGGGCAGAAGTCCACAATGAAATTCCATCATGAATCAAATCCCCGATCTTCCGAATTTGTCGGCAAATACAGACGATTATTAGAGGAACGAGGGCGGTGGGTTCTGTTATCCTTCTAGTCAGGATTTAGATGTCTTGCTTTGTCAAACCAACTACCCCAAAGGAATAGGAAACGACTGGCACAGCAAAAGGCGGCTTTGACCTTGCTTCGAGTTTTTAGCGCTTGGCGCGGTGGTGTAGTCTAGTGGTTAAATCATTCGCTCGTGACTCTTCAGGCCCGGGCAGGATTTCCCACATGGGTACAATGTCTGAAGCCCATTTCTGGTGTTCCCCGTGATGTTGGTGGAACATTGCTAAAAACGGCGTAAACTCAACTCACTCACACTCACACTTTTAGCTCTGAGCCCCACATTTTCTGGCAAGTTGTTTACACATCCTGAAGTTCGTCTTGAATTTGGGCATTCTGGAGTTTGTTTGGAACTCGCATTACAGTAGTGTTCGCGGTACAAAAAAACCCTTTACGTTTCTCAAACGCATAGCCCTTGGAATCTTGGGTGATTCGGTAACATCGCCATGTCAAAACGCAGGACGTTACATTTCAGTATCATGAAAATTAAGGAAGTAATTTAGAAGTGTAACGACCCAGAACACAAAATGTACATTTATTTGCGTGAAACAGGATTTTGCGTTAACCCTAACATTGATTACAAGATAGGCGTAGAACTGATCTTCGAAACGATGCTCCAAAACTCCTCCCCTTGTCAATGGATCCATGTTATTTTTCGAATAATCTTTGTTTAGATATTCATGTCACCGCTGTCCCAATCGTGTAAACCGATTACTTTTGTTGTGTCAGCACAATATATTGGTAATATCCATATATGTTGGTAATATCCAGCAATGGTTCTATTTCAGACGAGGGAACTCCCTTTTATATTGGATTAAAACGGCGAGGAGCCAAGAAGATACATCACTGGTCCAACGGGAAGCCGATAGACGACAACTTCTGGTGTTCGGGACCAGGAAAACCACACAACTCGCCATGCACAGTGCTGAAACGACATTCAGCACGAACTGGTTACTGTATCGGTGTAAAACCTTGCATTGGAGGACGTATCATTTGTGAAAAACCTTAACATTGAACAAAACACGATATGTATGTTCACAAATATTGAACAAGTAAATAGACATATGCATATAAATTTGAATAGTTTGCTTAAATTCTTTTATTGTGTGTTTGAAGTATGTATGCAGGGACTTGTTTCTTTTATTGTGTGTTTGAAGTATTGATGCAGGGACTTGTTTCTTTTATTGTGTGTTTGAAGTATGCATGCAGGTTCAGTCTTTTTGTATTGTTTTACTTACAGTTTCATGATATTTGTATCACCAAGACACACCATTTATCAACAGACATTTCATCATTACATTACATCACTGGTCCAACGGGAAGCCGATAGACGACAACTTCTGGTGTTCGGGACCGGGGAAACCACACAATTCGCCATGCACAGCGCTGACACGACATCCGGCTGGTTACTGTATCGGTGTAAAACCTTGCACTGGAGGACGTATCATATGTGAAAAACCTTAACATTGAACAAAACACGATATGTATGTTCACAAATATTGAACAAGTAAATAGACATATGCATTTAATTTTAAATAGTTTGCTTAAATTCTTTTATTGTGTGTTTGAAGTATGTATGCAGGGACTTGTTTCTTTTATTGTGTGTTTGCAGTATGCATGCAGGGACTTGTTTCTTTTATTGTGTGTTTGAAGTATGCATGCAGGGACTTGTTTCTTTTATTGTGTGTTTGAAGTATGTATGCAGGAACTTGTTTCTTTTATTGTGTGTTTGAAGTATGCATACAGGGGAATTGTTTCTTTTATTGTGTGTTTGAAGTATGTATGCAGGAACTTGTTTCTTTTATTGTGTGTTTGAAGTATGCATGCAGGGACTTGTTTCTTTTATTGTGTGTTTGAAGTATGTATGCAGGGACTTGTTTCTTTTATTGGGTGTTTGCAGTATGCAATGGGACTTGTTTCTTTTATTGTGTGTTTGAAGTATGCATGCAGGGACCTGTTTCTTTTGTATTGTGTGTTTGAAATATGCATGCAGGGACTTGTTTCTTTATTGTGTGTTTGAAATATGTATGCAGGGACTTGTTTCTTTTATTGTGTGTTTGAAGTATGCATAGGAACTTGTTTCTATTATGGTGTGTGAAGTATGTATGCAGGGAATTGTTTCTTTTATTGTGTGTTTGAATTATGTATGCAGGGACTTGTTTCTTTTATTGTGTGTTTGAAGTATACAAAGGGACTTGTTTCTTTTATTGTGTGTTTGAATTATGTATGCAGGGACTTGTTTCTTTTATTGTGTGTTTGAATTATGCATGCAGGGACTTGTTTCTTTTATTGTGTGTTTGAAGCATGCATGCAGGGACTTGTTTCTTTTATTGTGTGTTTGAAGCATGTATGCAGGGACTTGTTTCTTTTATTGTGTGTTTGAAGTATGTATGCAGGGACTTGTTTCTTTTATTGTGTGTTTGAAGTATGTATGCGGGGACTTGTTTCTTTTATTGTGTGTTTGAAATATGCATGCAGGGACTTGTTTCTTTTATTGTGTGTTTGAAGTATGGATGCAGGTTCAGTCTTTTTGTTTTGTTTTACTGACAGTTTCATGATATTTGTATCACCAAGACACACCATTTATCAACAGACATTTCATACGCAGGGCACAATCCTTTGCATACGCTGATACTCAACATTACATCCCAAACATAAATAAGCACCGCTGGTGGGCATGCTGTTGACATACCCGGAGTTTGAGGCATACCCAGTGTATTTAATTCAAAGAACGTCATGCCGCTCTTTCCCAGAAGTTGTTTAATCAAGTTTACAACATTCAAGGCCACAGTAAAGCTTTGAAAAAGTGTTATGGTAGACATGTGGAGGACATATCGAAATTTAATTCTTCAGTGTCAAAAATGATGTCCGATGCAATTCCCTATTTTGACTGGTAACATACTTTTCCGAATTATTTCAGGTGAACAAATGACTAGACTTAGCATATGTTTATGACGGGTGCCACCGGTGGGGCAGGATATGCTCACCTTTTCGCGATCACTTGGTATCATCACAAGTTCATAGTGAATCATTTCAGGCTTGATTTATTTTACAAACAACATCGTACAACTGTAACTGAAGCAAATATATGCTCCCGGTATAGTCACAATTGTACAATCGACTTTTAGCAGAGATTTCTTATGAATGTGTTTTGTCGCGTCTATTAAGTAAACACAAACGTTCACAAGGAAATTAGGTCCAACTTTAAGTCTGAAATTTTATGATTATGAATGTATAAGAATAAGTAGGAATGTAAGAGCGAGTGAGTTTTGTTTAACGCCGCACTCATCAATATTCCAGCTATAAGGCGGCGGTTGTAAATATTTGAGTCTGGACCAGACAATCCAGTGATCAACATCGATCTACGCAATTGGGATACGATGACATGTGTCAACCAAGTCAGCGGGCCTGACCACCTGATGATCACGTTAGTCGTCTCTTACGACAAGCATGGGTTGCTGAATACCAATTTTAACCCGGATCTTCACGGATTACATCAAGTTGACATACTGTTCTAAGAGGTACTCATGCTTATATCAATGATTCTGGATTCAAGCTATGTTTATCGCCAGTAGCTTTTAGATAAGATCAGACAAAACGAGTTTCCATTATCAAACCAACCATCCACATGCAACAAAGCAATACATACTATCGCCTGACGTTGATAAAGTCACTGGAAACATACAGTTTTCTCAGAAATTATTGAGAAAATCTGTCTTTCCTTATTCTGATAATAGAATTTTAAAGTAGGTGTTACATTATGAAGTAAGGTACTCAATATGGGAAGCAACTCTTGTAGGCTTAAGATTCCTCTGTTGCCATGGCAGATTTGACATCAGAAGAGAAAAGAAAGCTGGCTCTGGGTGATTTGGAAACTTATCTACCAACGCCCAAAACATAGCCTGAAATTTCACATGTGGGATGGGATATCATCACGTGGAGTGATGCCGTTGTGTATTTTCACTGAAAATGTTAGGAAGGAACGATATATTGACATCCTAAATGGTCACCTCCTTCCAACGGTGTCTTCCCGGGAAGATAACATTTGGTATTGCAGTGAAAATCCTTTGATGTTTCGCCGAGGTAGACACATGTTGTTTTAATGGATTAGTGAGGGGGGTTGTGCTATAAACTGAACTGCATAACGAAGTCGATGTTCATTTACATGATATCAACTCACATTGTAATATAAACATGATATCAACTCACTGGTTGTTGATTTCCATTCGTATCAACTCACACCTTATTGATTGACATTGATTGATTTCAACTCACTACTAACTGATTGCCTTTGACACTGATTTTAATTCACTAATTATTTGTTGATATTTACTCACTAATTATTATGGGTATATATCCTGCTTATCCGCAACCCAATGCATCACTTTCGAAATGGCAAATCAGCAGTTAGACTGACTGACTGAGTTTGGTTTTACGCCGCTTTTAGCAATATTCCAGCAACATCACGGCGGGGGACACCAGAGATGGGCTTCACACATTGTACCCTTGTGGAGTCAGCAGTTAGAGTACACGTTCATTCCAACTTCACGCGGAGGAAAGTATCTCTCTATAGAGGGATGCATGTTCAGAGTGAGTAGCAAACCCAGTGATGCATCATGGATGTCATGGATGTGCCTAGATAAGAACTGCATTTCAACTGTTTCTGGAACCATCATGCCCGAACACTGCTTGAAGATAACTGGATTATCCGGCACGATGACGACCCAAAACACACCGCGGGCTACACAAAACAGTGGTTGTCGGACGGAAATGTTCAACTTTAAGACTGGCCCAGCTACAGTGAATGAGCAGGTGTGTGAAAGTGAATGAGGTGTGTGTGAGTGAGGGAATGAGATGTGAGTCAGTGAATGAGTAGGTGTGAGAGGTGAGGTGAGGTGAAATGGGGTTTACCGTCGCACTTGCGAATAATTCGGTCAAATGACGACATGCATGCGTGTGTATGTGCGGCTGCTTGTACCAGCCCAGACTATAGTGCTAGCCCACTGAGATACCATGCGGCAGTTCAGCTTGAATACCCCACTCAGACACATTATACCAGGGAGACTATAAGACGGGGAATGGGCACTCCTCGAAAAGCCCCTTAGCGTATGCCTCGGCTCGTCACGTGACCAGTGTAGGCAATATGGCGGCAGCTTAGTTTTTATGCTCAGCTGATTACATACGCTGAGCGTTGTGACAACTGAAAACATACATGTAGAAGGTTAGTCACCTATTCTGCCACTTCATTTTAAGTCAAATATTTGTAATTAGTGACAGTATTAGTACAGCAGATCTGTAGTAAACTTTCAAGTCGGCATGTTGTAGCTCACTGGCTTCCATTCTAGGTACATAGCGAAGAAAGACTAAATTCTGTCGATAAAAAATTCTTTCACACATTCGTTTAATTTTTAGAAGGGAAATATACCTTTAGTTGAAAGGTGTTTGCAAGTAAAAAGTGATAGTTTTATCATTTAAAAGAAAATGTTTGGGTGTATTTGAGGTGTGTGAAAAATACGACATATCGCCGATCTGATCTGATCGGCCATTGAAATACTACAGGGGGATGTTCGAGTGTTTCTAGTTATTGTTCTGAAAACGTCTTTCACATACACCTTTAATTTTTATGAGGGGAATATACCATTAGGTGAAAAATGTTTGCAAGTAATAGTGATAGTGTTCATAATTTTACAAAAACTGTTAGGGTGTATTTCATGTGTGTTAAAAATATGACATATCGCCGATCTGTTCTGATCCGCAATTGATGCCTGTGATGCTTGAGTGTTATAGTTGTAAAACATTTTTCTTTCTTGTTGATCTTAATATTTGACAAAACTGGAAAGGTCTTAACAACGCTTTGTGATAGTTTTAAACTTTCTGTATTTGAGGGGTGTGACAGTGTCAATGAACATTCTGTCAATGTCCATGTCACTCCACACATACAGGAAGATACCTGAAGGCTAAATTGCTAATGTAAAAACCGTCTCAAAGTAGATTTTAAAAAGAATTGACAGCTGATGTTAACACATGTGTTCTAGCGATAGTTT